GACCTTATAAGTTATTTAGAAAATATGGCAGTAATTGTATCATAACTGTGATGTCTAGATAATTTAAATTTATTACTCTAATCTCACAATAAATATCCTTTTAAATTAGCTGTACCATGTATCATACAAAAAGTGTTTCATAGGTAAAAATAAACATTTATGTAAAAACACAGTCATGTGCTGCGGAATGATGTTTTAGTCAGCAATGGCCCACTTATACAACAATAGTCCCATAAGAATGCAATACTATATTTTTATGGCACTTTTCTGCATTTAGATATGTTTAGATATATAAATATTTAGCATTTTTATTTTAATTGCCTACACTATTTAGCAAAGTAATATGCTGTACAGATTTGTAGCCGAGGACAATAGGCTATACTATTTAGCCTGGGTGAGTAGTATGCCATACCATTAGGTTTGTGTAAATAGACTGTGATATTTGCTCAATGACAAAATCTCCTAGAGATGCATTTCTCAGAACATATTCTGGTTGTTAAATGATGCATGGTTATAATTGTGTGTATTCAGTAGAACAGTGATTGCCAACAATGTTATCCCTCTAACACACAGAACTAATGAATAAGTAACCTTACATATATCCAAAGGGACTTTGCAGATGGGATAAAGGGTACAGCCGTTGATGGGGAGATTATTCTAGGCTTACCTTTAACACAGGTGAACGGGCAATATTAATTTGACGATTGACCGCATAGTTCTGAAAAAGCAGCCCACTAAGTTTTACTTTGATATGATAGAGTATAATAAGGTAATATGGTTGAGAGTGCCTGCATTTTGGTAGCATCTAACTGTGGCAAACCATTCCAAAGAATCTAGAAACAATAAATTAATATAGGTTTTAACAAATTATTTTTGAAGAAAGGAACTCTGATTGAAAGCAACGATATAATATGTAACAAAATATTTGGATTGAAATATTTTACATAAAAATTACAATTAGTTGTTTATTTAACACACTTTAATCTGAGATTATGTGGTATATCAATACCAGTATCAATATTTACTATTTTGTTTTCCAAATAAAAATATTACACACTAAATCAAAGAATCTATGGAGGTAGTCACTTTTTCAAAAATATAAACCATAAAATGCAATTCTAACAAATATTACAGGTATGTAAAAAATAAAATACTGATAACTTATTTAAAAATACAATTTCTAGAGAAGTACTTGCATGTTATTTAAAACAAATGACTTAGAAATTGATTGAAACATAAACAAAGTTATTTTTAACATACCCATAATTGATATAGAGGTGTTTTCTTGCTTTAATGCTTATGGCAACATGCTATTCTTATTATATAGAAAAATTTTTTTGGAAAATAAATATACATGCAATACAATAAAATATTGTATTAATCCTTATTTCAAAAATGATAAATTTTAATCATTTTAGTATTCATTTTATTTTTGAATAAAACTATAAAATTTTGCTTATTCACTTGTAACCCACGGAGCTCACTCAGGATACCACAAGACAGTAACTACAAAGATCTGTTCTAAATACACTCAGGTAATTGGGTGATGCTCTGAAGAAAACTAGTTGTATGTAAGATGATTTAGCCTGAATGTCTCAAATAGTAAATGGTTAATTTACATTTTAGGCGACCACGTTGAAATAACAGATATTTCAGCTAAGTTCAGTAAATGTGAAATAGCTGGAGATTAGAGATTTTTGTTGCCAGGGATAGTGTTACTATCTGCAGGAAAATCTACAATACACAGACCTCAGTAGTCACTGAAGTTATCTGGGATTGTGGTTAGGACAGTAGAAGAGAAAGAACATGAGTTCTGTCTGAAACTTCAGCCTGAAGTTTTAATTTATGCGCTTAAAAAAATTGTCACTAAATTGTATGCTGTTAAAACTGATGGATTTTTTTGTTTTAGGTATCAGTGTCCCAAACTAGGCTGTGTTTTGAACAAAAGTTTCATTCACCAATCTATTATAATGTATGATTTATATTATTTGTATAATTTGGGTCTCAGCCTCTCTACAAGATAAGATGGCAGCAGGAATCCTGAACACAGAATGAGGACTTTACACAATAAAAAGCTCTGAGTCTGCTCAAAATAGCACTATGGAGCATGATGGGAATAACTTAATCAGGAAAATGGTGCCATCACATACACATATATATTTTCAAATTTCCTGAATGTAAGACTGTGTATAAATTTTAGCTCTTTGTGTGATGCAACCATGTAATTGGATCTAAAGGGATTTAGATTAGGCTGGATTAGGGAACTGGTAGAAGTTATGGAAGACATCTAGGGAGAAGCAGAATAAACATTTCCTATTAAATTAAATATTAAACGGTTTAAGACGAAATGTATCTATCATGGATTCTATTTCTTCCATGTTGCTTTCCTCCTGTGTAGAAAAATCACCTTACTACTGATATCTCAAGCAACATTACTTTGGTGCTTTTCCAAAGCCAGAACTGTCTTCTGGTTTCAGAATTTCTATTCCTTATCACTAAGGAAAACTTGATTCTTCTGGATCCTATTGTCTTCAGGCCATCTCCTGATTGCTAAGTTGGTGGTTCATTAATTTGACAAATGAAAATGTTGCAATGCTGACTCAAATTCACTTACGTTTTTGGGCTTCTAAACTAAATTTGTAACAAATCCTATGGGAATTATAAAGAGGAGGTGTGAATCTAATTTTCCAATGGCTAAACTAACTGGTTTGGTGGCCATTTCTTTCTTCTCTCTTACATTAGATAAAGAAAGATCCTGGAGTGAATGGCTTTCATTAATGTGTTTTTTAAAAGTGCAAACTATCCCACTGTTCCTTCTCTTTGAGTTCATATAAATAGAGCACTATAATGCGGTTGTTTATGGCTCAGACTTGGGAGTCAGATTGGTCTAGGGCCTTGCTCATAAGTGTTCTTTATTGAATGTAGCAGTTACTAAACTGTACGTTTGTAATTCAATTACTGATTTTTTTATTAATGATTTCACACAGGAGAAGGTGTATAATTAGAAGAATTGACAGTTTAAATAACTGTACTCTGCTTATAATGAAAAATAGCCATTAATGGATTTAAGTAATGGTGTATATGTATGTGCATGCATGTGAGTGTTTAAATATTAACACGTGAAAGTATTCATATAACTAGAATACTAGTATGAAATTGTCCATAAACTTGAGATGTCTAGAAAATTCCAGTACATTATCTCTTCTACTAGTCACCAATGTGCCTAGTGAATGCAAATTTAATTAAAGTAAATCATTAATATTTTCACAGCAAGTGTAATCATAATCTCTGAAGTAATTTATTAAATTTTATTACTTAGACATTATCTAGAAATGTCTTCAGATGTGTGTAAAGCCCTTTGAAAGAGATCACATTTTGTAAAATTACTCCGAATAGGCCAAAACAGTTATTTGGGACTGTTGTTCCAAAACCTTTGTTATTACTGAAGATTTATCTGTGCCATGGTCAGTCTATATAAAGGTAGGAATTTGCTTGAAGGCAGCAAATAGTAAACATACTGTCCTCTTTCCCTTTACATTGTTTTGAAAACCAAACAGTAGAGGTAAAAATGTTTAGCCCTGCATTTAAAATCATAATTTAAATTCTAATGGAAAAAATCAAGAGAGAATTTACATTTTGAACTAACATTTTCATTTTCCTATTATTCTCAAATTATTTATAACATCGTAAGTACATGGCTACTCGGTATTAAAGGGAAAAATAAATAATTCAAAGGATCTTATGAAACTAACAAAAAATAAACTGTTAAGATTTTGTTATTAAGAAGTGACTAAGCCAGGTTCAGTGGTTCAGCCTGTAGTCCCACGCTTTGGGAGGCTGAGGTGAGTGGATTGCCTGAGCCTGCGGGTTGGAGACCCGCCTGGTCAACTTGGCGAGACCTCATCTCTACAATAAATAAAAAAAAATCAGCCGGGCATGGTAGCGCATGCCTGTAATTCCGGCTACTCGTAAGACTGAGGCGGAAGGATTGCCGGAGCCCAGCAGGTCGAGGCTGCGGTGGCTGGGAGCAGTCACTGCACTCCAGTCTGGGCGACAGAGTGAGACTCCAACTCAAAAAAAAAAAAAAAAAAAGTAACTAAAATGAACTCAAATTGTTATATTATTATTATTTTTTTTTAGAAACAATATTTATTATCTCCTGTTAAAACAGGATGCTCTCATGAGGAAAGAGTATGCAAAAAAGCCTTCCTATACCCTGAGCTTTCTCACTTAACCCACCAGGCTGGGACTGTCCTCACTGTGTAGGAAGGAAAGTTCTCCACATGGTCCTGGGAAATTAGGCTGCTCTAGTTTTACTTTTAATTATTTGCATGTAGCCGGGCTTGGTGGCTCAGCCTGTAATCCCAGCACTTTGGGAGGCTGAGGTGAGTGGATTGCCTGAGCTCGCAGGTTCAAGACCCGCCGGGGCAACTTGACGAGACCTCATCTTTACAATAAATCAAAAAAATTAGCCGGGTGTGGTAGCATGTGTCTGTAGTTCCAGCTACTTGGAAGTCTGAGGTGGAAGGATCGCCGGAGCCCAGCAGGTTGAGGCTACAGTGGCTGGGAGCGGCCACTGCACTCCAGTCTGGGTGACAGAGTGAGACTCCAACTCAAAAAAAAAAAAAAAATTATTTGCATGTGTAAAAAAAAAAAAAATCCAATAGTTAACAGCAGGCTATCTGCTCCTAGGCACATATGCCCCTGTCTACTTGGATAGGCAGATGTGGGCCTCAAGTTCATAGCCCCATGCATAGCCCAGGATTTTATGGCACCCTGAAAATGAGGTGAGTATTCCTTGCTAGGGATTGAAGAAGATCCCAGCTACTGGTCAGCTTGTTGAAAATGTACACAGTGCCTCCAGCGAGAAGCTGAGATTGCCTCTTTAGTGAGGAACATTTTGAGTATAGCAGGGTTACCAGGTAGGCAGCATTCTGGCCACAGGGTAGTAACTGGTCTAGAAGCTACTTGCTCCATCTCCAAATCTTTTTGAGGTTAATTAAATTGACAAGAGTGAATTCAAGTTTCAAAATGGCACACCAAGGTATACAAGGTGGAGTATGTCATTAAGGCAAGGGTCTCACCAAGTTTGTACACAGAGCTCTGACCCCACCATACCCCTCCCCTCACCCTTTAGGCCTGCTTAGTCCTGCCCTCTATTCTTCCTCGGTGGCAGCTTCCAGCATCCAGAAGCCTTGAGCAGCTTTGGCCTCACAAGTTGGGCATGGCCCAATTAAGGAACTTCATGGCAACTTCAAAGCCAAGGAAACAGGCCGCATTGGCTGGGAAGGCTCGGATCATCACTGCCTTGAACCCCTTGTACAAAGATGTGACTCCTTCATCCCGAATCAACTCTCTCAGCACATCTCTGAAACCATTAGGATACTTCCCAGGAGATGCAGTCTGGAAGCGGGACTTGAGCACATCTGGAGGGATTGCCACAGCCCAGTTGAAGATCCCTGCAATGCCCCCAGCCACCAGGATCCTAGGTGCACTGAGCTCACTGACCCTCTTTCCCTCTGGAGTGAAGATATTTTTCAGCCATTCATATGTCATGAAATACATCCCACTGGCTGGAACATCTCGCATGAGGGTAAGCACGGTCCCTTTGTAGATGCCTCGGATCCCAGACTCCTTATACAGCTTCTTTGCACAGTCCAAGGTACCAGTGTACTTGGTTTCCCCAGAAGAAGCCTGAATCTGTAATAAGCACTTGATTCGTTCTCCAGGAGTCATGATTGCTGTGGTGAATACACCAGATAACATCCCAGCTGCAAACAGTTGGGGATAGCTGAGCACATCCTCTGGGTGTTTCTGTTGTAGTTTCTTCCCCAAACCAAACCCAAAGAAACACACTGCAAACATGGGGGTGACCTCGATAATAGGGGCAGTCATTCCCCGGTATAGCCCTGTGATGCCCTCTCTAATAAGAGTCTTCCGGAAACAGTCAATGGTCCCAGAGTACATGGGAGGCTGTCCAGGCAAACTTGGTGGCTGTGTCTGCAGTTGGACCTTGATCGTGTCCAGAGGGTGCCCCACGAACACCAGACACACGCCGCCAAAGCCGCCGGCCAGCAGGTTCTTGAGCGGGCTAATGGGCTTCGGCTGATCGGCCATGGTCAGTCCGTCTGTCAGTCAGTTCCTTGGCCGTCCTGGCTCTGCTGCCCCAGCTGCAGCACCGGCGCCGCCGACCTTTCACCCACTTTCCAAATTGTTATATTATTAAATATAGTCTGAGTAATTTATTACTGTATAAGAAATACCAATTGCTAATCAACAGATAAAATGTCTTGATTTAAAACCAAAATATTTTTATTTTTTGCATTTGTTTGATGTAGATCACTGCTGAATTCCTGAAATCACAGATCAGTTAGTTATCTTTAATTAGCAAAATTACATATCCTCCCAAAAAGAACAATGTATTCCTGCTAAAACATAGTCACTGGTCTACATCCTTGGATCCTTAATTTCAGAGAAAGTAAACTTTTCTGTATTATAAGATGAGACTGTTCAGTGGCAGTTTTCTTTATTCTTTTTTCATGTCCAACTTATGACTCCTGCTTTATTGGAGAGTGGAATTGGGGAATATCAAGAGGATTTTTTGTGATTTCAAATGATGCACTGTCTGTAACAAATGTATTAAGCCTTCAGTTCTCAGATCTATTGGAGTCAGCAGACTTAAATTTCATATATATCTATGGCCCAGAGACACCGAAAAGCACTATCAGTGAGAAACCTTCAACTCCAAATATTATACTTTTAAGATTTTCTAGTTATTTTCTAAATAATTTATTGATGAATATAAAAATAGAATTAGCCTTCATATAGGAGGATATTTGAGTGACCCACCAGGCAAAGACAAATTTGGCTTTAAAATGTGGGATACAATTTTTAAAAGATAGGGAATAATATGTGAATATTATTTGTATGTTTTCATTTTAAGTTTTTCTTTCCTGTTATTGATACTCAATAACTTATCCTTAATACAGTTTTTACATGATTAAGTGATCTAGTGAGAAAGACAAAAATGTTAAAATTATCTAGCTAATGTTAATGCTTACTTAAAAGCTGATCTTTATAAAAGCAAAACTTAGGGGAAAATAAAATAAATACTATTACACTTTTAGGACAACAGTAAAACCCCTTGCATCTACAAATGGCAGTAAAAGAAAATTCCCTCTACCATTGTATGACTGAAAATATAAATGCTATGCACATACCTACATCTGATCTTAGCGAAAAATCATTGAGAAAGTCCCAGCTCCAAAAACCCAGGAACAGCATGCCTACCAAAAGACTTAATCAGAACCATAGAGAGCTTTTCATTAACCCCTCAGCCAGGCTAATAATGTTAACTAAACATCACAACAATCAATCAACTGTTGTCGGAAGAAGGGTAACAACACAACGGAGGGAGAGATTCTCTTTAAGGGAAAAAAGTTCTTAATACTGAGGGCAGACAGACATTGAAAAAAAATCCTGAGGTCACCCACTCCTACTATAGACACAAGATAATAATAGAGAAATCAAAAGCCAGTTGATACGTTAAAGGTCACCATACCCACAACAAACCAGCTCAATTATTGCATTGACTAAGTACTACAAATTATAACAAAAGTGTATCAATAAAACAACGAATTGATATTATTTACTAAGCATTTATCAAAAATAAATCAGAGTAATCAGTTTGCCAAAAATATAAATTCAAACTTTAGAAGTCCTACATATTAATATACAGTTCATATTTTTTATAACTTTTAAATATTCATATAAAATAAAATACGAAATTTTAAAAGTTTTTGTAGAAAATGCTCAGACCTGTAAAACATGTGGAGCCTGGTACTGGACACCACCAATCTGGTCTCTGTCTGTATTGATTTACCTCTTCTAGAGGTTTTATATAAATGAAATTATACACTATATGACCTTCTGTGGTGGACTTCTGTCATTTAACCTACCGTCTTTGTGATTCATCATCATTGTAGCACACATCAGTGCTTAATTCTCTTTTATGGGAGTAACACTAAATTTCTAGATATCACCAACATTTGCTATTTTCTGTGATTTAAAAAAAGTATGGCTATTCTAACTGGTGTGGTGGCTAAAACCTATACTCCCAGCTTTCTGGGAGACCAAGGTGGAAGTACTGCTTGAGCCCAAGAGTCCAAGAGTTTGAGACCAGTCTACATAACAAAGCAAAATCTCATCACTACAATTTTTTGGTTTGTTTGTTTTGTTTTTTGTAGAGACAAGGTCTTTTTATATTGCTCAGGCTGGTCTTGATCTCCTGGGTTCAGACAATTTTCCTGCCTCAGCCTCCCAAAGTGCTGGGACTACAGGTGTGAGCCACTGTGTCTGACTCTTGTATATTTTTGTTTGATTGATTATTTAGTTTTTTTGTTGTTGAGATGTAAACATTCTTTATATGTTCTTGATACTAGACCCTTATCAGACATATGATTTACAATGTTTTCCATTCTATAGGTTGTCTTATATTTTGTATTGCTTCCTTTGTTGTACAGAATTTTTAATTTTCTCAAAGTTCAATACATAGTTTTTTTTTTTTTCTTTGTTGCTTTTATCTTTGGTGCCAAATCTAAGAACATACTGCTAGATCCAAGATTGTGAAAGTTTACTCCTTTGTTTTCTAATAAGAGTTTTATAGTTTTAGCTCTTACATTTAGGTCTTCAATCTATTTTGAATTTTTATATGTATTATGTGGTAGGGGTCCAACATTTTTGTTTGGCATGAAGATGTCTAGCTATTCTAGACATTAAAAAAGACTGTTGTTTCTCTGTTGAATGCTTTGGCACCCTTGTGGAAATAAATTTGTTTTATTTCTGCACTCTAAATTATATTCCAATGATCTATGTATCTATCCTTATGCCAGTAACACAATTTTGTTATTCAGTAATGAGTGCTGAAATTAGTAAGCATGAGATTCTCAACTTTGTTATTACTTTTCAATATTATTTTATCTATTCTAGGCACCTTGAATTGAATTTTTATCCAAGTATATTTTTTATTATTTACTCTTAATAAATGGGCAACATGAAAGACAGGAGTGTAAGTAAGGGAAGTAAGGATCGGAAGGAACTAACAGATATCAAAGATAATACTTAAGGAAGAAGAAAAATGTAAATGCTGTATTGAATATTCATAGAGAAAAATATATATTGTCCCCATAAAACAAAAATAGTTCAATATAAAGGTAGAACATTCTTAGAAAAGAAAGAACTCTGAGAAATTAAAAATAGAGATCTGAATAAAAAATTCAATAGATAGGTTTTAAGATAATGTTGAGGATATCAGTCAGAGAAAAATAAAAAGACAGCAGGGCATCAAGATGATGTTCTATTAATGAATTGACAGCTTTATCACTGTATAATGACCTTATTTATCTTTTGCAACAATTGTGTGCTTAATATATATTTTGTTAGCTATGAGTAAATTTCTATTTTTGTCACAATTTAGATTTATTGTGTATTTTTTAACAATTTATTGTAGCTTTTTAAAAAGGTTTTCTTTTACTCATGTGTATGGTTTGCACGCTACCATTTCAGTATCAGACTATTCTGGGTTTGGCTATATGTATTGATCTTCACCAGTGAGTTTTACTTTTATATGTATTCATGATAGTAGGTACCATCCTTTCATTTCTTCTTAAAGGACTCCCTAAGCATTTTTTGTAAGATAGAACTAGTAATAAATCCTCTCAACTTTTGCTTGTGCGCACACACACACACACACATACACACACACACACACACACGCGCAGTTATTTCTCCTTCATTTATGAAGAACAGATTTTCTGGCAATATTATTCTTGGTTGGCAGTTTTTTTATTCTTTTTTTTTTTTTCCTCTCAACACTTTGAATGTATTGTATTCCTCCTGACTTACAGATTCATTTCCTCCTGACCTACAGATTTTTTTCCTGAGAAAATATACTGATAGTCTAATGGAGGTTCCTTTTTTGTGACTTGACAATTTTTCTTGCTGTGTTTAAAATACTTTCTCAGTTTTGACTTTTGACAATTTGATTATAGTGTGCCTTTTGAGAAGATCTCTTTGGGGTGAATTTTTAGGACCTTTGAATTTCATGAATCTGGATGTCTGTATCTCTCCCAAGACCTGGGAATTTTTCAGCAATTATCTGATCAAATAAGATTTCTGACCCTTTCTCTGTTTCTTTTCTTTCTTAAATTCCCATAGTGTGAATATTTGTTTACTTATTTGTGCCCCATAAGTTTTTAGATATCTTCAATTTTTTTCACTATTTTCCCTCTGACTGAATTTTTAAAAACTTATCTTTAATTTCACTTATTTTTAATTTCTTTCTTCTGCTTTATGTAGTCTGATGTTGAGCTTCTTATTTGTGCTTTATATTTCATTGACTGAATTATTCAGTTCTAAGATTTTTGTTTGGTTATATCTATCTGCCCATCTATCTATATATCTTTATACATATGTTGAATTTATCATTCAGCTGATGAATTGTTTTATTTTATTTTATTGAATTGTCTATTTGTATTCTCTTGCATTTCACTGAGTTTCCTTAAGATTTTTATTTTGAATTTCTTATCAGGCAATTTGTAAATTTCCTTTTTTTCTGAGTCAGTTACTATAGGTTTATTATTTCTTTGGTAGTATCATGTCTCCTTTATCTTTCATATTTATTGTGTCCCTGCATTGATGTCTGCACATTTGGTAGTGCTATCACCTCTTCAAAATTTACAAATTTTTTTTGTAGGAGAAGACTTTCCCTTACAAATGAACCCGAAGGTGCTGGTTGGGTAAGGTGTGGTGGTTCTTATTCAGTGTGGGTAAAGAGGTATAGTATACACACAGCTTCTTCAGTTGTGATTGATATTAATAATGACTGCAAGTTCCTTAATGGTCTAGGCTGCTGAAGCTTGTGGCAGTGGCAGTGGCTGTGGCTTTGTAGGATATTAGGGCAAGTGCTTTAGGGTTCGTCCTGGTCTTGTTTATGTGCACAGTGGGGATTCTTAGCTGGAATTTCTCTCAGATTAAGTATAATATGATTCACAGGCAGCTACAGAGGCACTTGGATCCAGGGAATATGTTGCAGGAACAGCTGTAGAAGTGATTTCCTAGGCTCAGTGTCTTGTGAAATTGACACCTGAGAATTGAGACACAGGTTCATGCTCTGCATGGCACATATGGGTGCAGTCCTGTCATAAGCTGAGGTCAGTTACTCTGAGATACACCCATCAACTTGGGCCCAAACCTGTGGTTCTACCTCTGGGTACAGGGCACAGCACTGGCACGGCACTGGGGAAGAAGAGCTGCTCTTGATAGTACTGCCCTGGGGAAAAGGACATGAGGATATGCTACAAATCATGATCCTGAGACATCAGGGCAATGAGGTAGCTTGGACTCCAGGGAACGAAGTACCATGCAGTGGCGACTCTGAACCACTGCATGGTACTCAGCTATGGAAGCTGAGTATGGTTCTGTGAGCCCAGGTGCCATAGTAGCAAGGACCCAGGAATGACAAGATGCTGCTGTGTCTTGTGTCTTGAAGGGCGGAAAGCAGCACAGTGGAGCTTGGATTATGAGAGCTTAGTTTAGTTCCAGATAGGTGGGGTGCTTTGACAGGTCATTCTAGAGGGCAGGTAGACAGCTCAGCCAATGCTCTAAATCCCTGGGATGTGAATAACTGCCTCTGCATGGGCTAAGAAAGTGTGGCTACAAGGATTAGCAAAATCTATGGATTCCTGAGGGTGGGGCACTGTGTCTGGTATGGTTCTGGGATGTGCAATTGCTTATGTGTGCTGGGGGGCTTGGAGTCTCTGGAGGAAAGGGTACTGTCCCACCTGTGGCGTTGAGGAAAGTGGCTACTGCTCCAATGTGAAGGTGACCTGACATTTTCAAGGAGCAGGGCATTGCATCTGCTTTGGAACTGGAGTCATGACTTCTTCGATGTCTCAGAGACTTAGTTCTCTGGGTGGTTGGGTGCTGCTTATGCCATGGTGACAGGGGTATGATTACTATGGTGTACCAAATGCCTGAGGTCCCTAGAGGACAGAGTTCTGCCTTAGCTGTCATACTTGGGATATGCTTGCTCTGATAGCTTGAGATTCTGAATCTTTCTATTTCAGCCTTAAGGGGAGGGTGCACAGTGACTGGGATGGGGAATTGAGTAGTGTAGAGAGTGTGGTCCTAGGGATAGGTCATAGCAGCAGATCTGCTTAGAAATAGCACACTACTAGATTGTTATGGTGCAGTAGAAGCTAAGTCAGTGCAGTGGTGCAGGGATGGAGGGATGCCATGGCTATTTTTCCCCAAAGCATGACACATTATAGCAGTGACTCCGATTCCAAGATGGTGAGGAGCAGTAGCAGCACAAGCCACCTTAGCCATGGAGCAGACAGCATTAGCCCCTTCTCTGGAGGTGGTCCCTGGGTCTGTCTTCAATTTGGTTTGGTGCCTGTGACCATTTCAGGAATCTTCACCAGCAAAGACTTCCAGGGTCTGCAGTAGGGTTGGGGGAAGAATTACTGGGTTCCTTTTGTTTAATTTTTTTTCCTACAGGGAGAAGTCCCTACTGGTTGATAGCTAATACCAATTGGAGGGATGGGGTAGTGAAGGTAAGATGTTTCCTTCCTTTTTATGTGGCCACCCTGGGTTTCTGTGCATTATAGGATATTTGCTTTTTCTTTTATGTTTTACAGTGCTCTCCTTTAGTTATTTTGGTTGAAATACTGTTGCTTATTCATTGTTTTGGGTTTTGTGGGGGCAAAGAGGAAAAAGCTCCAGGAGCAAATAGTCAGTCACTGCGTGATGCCACTCTCAAAGACAATCTTAAGAGAATGAAAACACTGGCAACTATTTCTAGATTACAAAGTATTACACAAAAATAAATAATAAGAAAATGAATGGCCTAATAAAAACTGGCAAGAGATTTTGAGACACTTAACAAAAGATTTATAAGTAGTTACTAAACAAAATAAAAAGGTGTTGAGCATAATTAACCATTAGAGAATTGCACTTTTACATGTCAATGAGTTATCCCTACACACTTACTAAAGTGAATACAATCAAAAATTAATTAAAATAAAAAGTTGAAAATACGAAGTTTTTTTAAAAGAAAAATGTTAAAATAATACTCAGATTGCTGGTAGGAATGCAAAACATACAAGCACTTTGATAAACAGTTTGTCTCTTAAAAAGTTCAACATAAACTTATATGTGACCCAGCAATCCTTTCCTTGAATTTACCCAATGGAAATAAAATGTATGTTCTTATAAAAATATGTAATTGATTATTTGAAGTATTTTTATTTATAATTGCCCACATTTGGAAACAACCCAAATGTTCCTCAACCGGGGCTTGGAAAAACACACTACAATAAATCAATACAATGGAATTTCTACATAATAACAAAAAAGGAATAAACTACTGATATACAAGGTAGCATGAATGAATTTAAAATGCATTATACAGAGTTTTAAAAGCTAGATTCAAAGGCTATAGACTGTTATTTCATTGTGACGGCATTCATGGAAAAGCAAAATTATTGTGACAGAAAACAGCTCAGTGATTCCCAAGAGCCTGGAGTAAAGAGACAGTTGATTACAGAAGAGTGACCACGAAGCCTCTAACATTCCCCTCAGCTGACTAAATTTTAGACAGGTTTCTTCCTGACTATAGGCCTGTGACCTTCTTTTTCTTAGAGCATTTACTTAAAAAAAACAAAAAAACTTGATGATATGAATTCTTTCTCTGTCCTTTTGAGATGTAAATCTTCTCCCAGAAGCCTCTTGCTGTTTTTACAACCTAGGGATATCTTTCTCAAGGACCTGAGACCCATTTCTTTTAAATGTAGATGGTAAGAAAGATAGAGCCCCTGTTCTCCAGTCCTTGTGGGAGGGTAGAAGCCTAAATTTTGTAAGTACCAATTAGCAAATGCAGATGGCCCAATCACATTGATTAATCTCATTGACCCGCCTCACCCCTAATGTCTTCCAATACTTTTCTACCAGTTCACCCCACCTCCTATAAACTTTTCTGCTTTTTGTTTCAATAAATGTGTGTTCAATCTTTCTTTTCTGTTTCAGTAGTCTTCACCTCTGTTGAAATTGTCTTGAATAAAATCTCTTGCCTGTTTTATGCTGTATAGAGAAAATTTTATTTAATGAAAGGAAAAATATTTTTAGGTAATGAGACTGTTCTTCATCTTGAGTATGGCAGTTGTTCAAATTTGTGGAATGTACACCAAAAAGGGTGAAATTTGCTATATTAAACATATCTTAATTTTAAAATGTGGGATATAAAAAAGATTTGTACAGTTTATTCCTATACAGTACTGTGTTTAACCAATAGATATGAGTTATACCTACTTTTTCCCTGGAAAATTATGGTTGTAAGTTAATCAGGATAAACACAAAAAAGAAATAAGTGAATAAACAGAAGAAAGTAAAGAGAGATGTCTGGGAAGTTGTGATGTCCAAGTTGAACCTGAAAATTTAATTGAAATAAGCCAGGGATCAAGAACAGAAGAGTGCTTAAAATGCTTTTGAGGAACTCAAAGAAGTACAGTGTAACTAGATCAGAGGGTGAAAAGGGATCCCTGGATGACACTTGATTTAAGTGTCAGACAAAGATACCTGTAAAATAAAATTAATTGCCAGAGCTGAGGGACTACTAGGGATAATCCTGAAAGAGTAAAAAAGGAGCATATTTAAAATTATAATATTCCTCAAGTTGCCTTCCACTCAAAAATAGTGCCGTCTATTATCATAAAAAACAGGATCCCCAACATATGCTTGAAGACATAGGAACAGCCTGGTATCTAACCTATAAAACCAATAGCATATTTTTCTGACCTACCCTTCTCATGTAGAAAGGGAACATACTAGTGTCTCTTTTTTCTTCTATTTATTTTGCCTCATCTCTGGCATTTTAAATAAAAAGAAATTTGTTTCATAAAAAACATTGTAGTTAGCATTAAAAAGTGGGGGAGGAAAGAAATGTTAAATAAATATAGTTCTTGCGAAACGGTGGCAATTGTGTTTGTGCGTGATTTCTATAATGCTTATGGATGGAAACTACAAGGGACCTTAAATGAAACCAGAAGTTTCTATACACATTCATTCAGGTCAATTATTTAAAATTTAAAAAAACGTATCTATGTCATATAATGCTATTAAAGAGACAAAACAACTTGCTCACTAAGAACATCCATGGACAGATAATAGTTAAAATGTAATGACACATGCTTTATCTTTTATTCTACTTTGATCCCCACTTTACTCACATTTAATGTTTCTGAGTGATAGTGCATTTATTTCATATATGTTCATTAAATGTAGAGTAGTCCCCTCCAATCCACTGTTTCGCTTTCTGCAGTATCAGTTACCCAAGATCAACTGTGGTTTGAAAATGAAAAGTTCAGAGATAAACAACTCATACGTTGTTTTGGTTGTTGTTGTTGTTGTTTGTTTGTTTGTTTTGTTCCCTCCAGGATAAGCATCTGTTTTATTCGAATCTGGACAACTCTGAGGCTTGGGGTAGCCGATTTTGCCGGAAATTTGGCGCCTGCAAGTCTTCCTGTCTCACCCTCTCAAGAACCTGCTCCTGTAAATGGAGCATCAGAACTTGTCCTTGATGTCAAAATGGGACTGGTCTTCAGGCTTGAAGTCCAGGTTGGGGCTGCCGTCCTGGTTGAGAATTCTCCAGGCTGTGTAGCCAATGATGGGATATTTGGCTCTGTACACTTTGGTGAAGACATAATCCAGGGACTCCAGCTCCTTCGCCGTGAGATCCGTAGTATCATGGGTGAGGTCTGCAGGATCTAGGGACATCCTTCTTAGTCAAGACATTGAGCTGGGCTCGGTGGCTCAGCCTGCAATCCTGCGTCTTGGGAGGCTGAGGTGAGTGGATTGCCTGAGCCCGTGAGTTGGAGACCTACCTGACCTCATCTCTATGATAAGTCAAAAAAATCAGCCGGGCGGTAGCGCGCGCCTATAATTCCAGCTACTCGGAAGGCTGAGGCGGAAGGATCGCCAGAGGCCAGCAGGTGGAGGCTGCGGTGGGCAGGAGCGGTGGGCGGGACTGCCTGCCAACCCAGTCTGGGCGACAGAGTGAGACTCCAACTCAAAAAAAAAAAGGACATTGTAGGGGGCTCCTCGTCCGTTAAACTCCTTTCCAGAAGTGGCATCAAACACCACTCCCTTTACTGCCAAGTAGATGGGCTGATCATCCTCCTCCGGCCTTAATGGGCCAGCTTCTCCTCTGTGAAGTGCCACACCCGGGGTGCCCACTCGGCAGGGCGCACCGGCTGCGCAGCCTGGGTTGGCAGGCAGTCCCCGGACCAGTGCCAGGACCAGGGCCAGCGCTGCCAGCCGCCGAAGCCCCCACCCCACGGGGGCCGCCCACAATGCATCAGTTTTAAATTGCACGTTGCTCTGTGTGATGAAATTTTGTGCTATGCCTGAGATGTGCAGAATATTTACTATTTGACCTTTACTGAAAAACTGTGCTAGTTTCTGATGTGGTGCAGTACTGTCCAATTAAACTATACATGATAGGACAATTTTCCACACTACCCTATTGACTGTTAACTGTTAGCAATCAGCCATCTGTGGCAACTGGGCATCTGCAATGAAGGACGTGTGACTAACGACCGGAGCTTTTAAGTTTACTCATGTCATGTTTAATAGATTTTATTTTTAGAGTAGTTTTATGTTCATTTCAAAGTTGGGCAGAAGTTTCAGAGATTTCCCGTAACCTCTGCCCCCACACATGCATGGTCTCCCTTATTTGTTGACATTTCCCACAGAGTGATACATGTGTTACAATGGATCAACCTATATTCACCATAATCATGCACCTATCACATTAGAATTCATGCTGGTTTTTATATAGTCTATGGATTGGTCAGATGTATAATGACATGCATCCACTATTTTTAGTATCATGCAGAGTATTTTCGTTGCTCTAAAACTTTTCTGTTATTATTTTTTCTCTTTTAATTTTTATTTTAAAATTGTGGAGTACAATTCAGGGTTGGATGTACAGATATTCGTTGTGCAGGTATGCTTGTTGATGAGGTGTACCCTCCATTTCCAGGCAGATATCAACTACTATCAATCCCACCTCCCCAACCCCCTTTCCCCCCCACAGTTTCTTGCCACTTTCAACCCTTTTCTTATAGTAATATGGTAGTTGTTCAAAGTCCACTTACGAGTGAGAACCTGTGGTACTCAGCTCTTTGTTGCTGTGAAGTTCATGATTTTGTCCTTCTTTATGGATGCACAATATTCCATTGTTTATATGTACCACACATTTTTTTATCCAGTCCTCTTTTGATGGGCAGCGTGGTTGGCTCCATGATCTTACTCTCATGAACAATGCTGCAATAAACATACATGTGCAGTTATCTTTTTAATAGAATGACTTGAGTTCTTCTGGGTATATTCCCAGTAGGGGGATTGCGAGGTCATATGGAAGGTTGATTTTTAGAACTTTTAGGGATTGCCACACTGATTTTCACAGAGGCTGTACTAGTTTTTACTTCTATCAACAGTGAAGAAGTGTGCCCTTTTCACCACATCCTCTACAGCATCTGCTGCTTTTTGAGGTATTGATGATGGCTATTCCGACTGGAGTTATGTGGTATCTCAATGTAGTTTTAATTTGCATCTCCTTGATGACTGGTGAGGCTGAACATTTTTTCATGTATCTGTTAACAGCTCTTACGTCTTCTTTCTTTTGCACACTTTATAATGGTTTTTTTTTTCCCCCAGCATGTTTGAGTTCCCTATAGATCCTTGATGTTAGGCCTTTGTCAGACATGGAGTTGGCAAATATTTTTTCCCTGTCTGTGGCTGTCTCCCCGCTCTCTTTTGGTTTCTTTGGCTTTGTAGAAGCTTGTCAGTTTAATCAGGTCTCACTTGTCTATCTTATCTCTTATGGCCTGGGCACTTCAGGTTTTGATCAGGAATCGGTTGCCAGTTCCAACTTCCATAAGGAGTGTCTCCTGGGTTTTCTAAGGTTCTTAAAGTTTGAGGTTTTACATTTAGGTCTGTGATCCATTTAGAGTTAATTTTTGTGTATGGGGGTAGGTAGGGGTCCTGTTTCAATCTTCTGCAAGTGGTCAGCCAGTTTTCCCAGCACCACTTACTGAATTGATTCTCCTCTCCCCAGTAGTGGGTGGTGGAGGCTTTGTCGAAGATGAGTTAGTTGGTTGAGAAATTGAGGTTTTGCTTCTTGAATCCCAATCCTGTTCCATTGGTCTATATGCCTGTTCTTGTATCAATACCAGACTGTTTGGATTATTATAGCCATATAATAAAGTTTAAAGTCTGGAAAAGTGATACCTCCCGTTTTTTTTTTCTGATAATGTTTTGGCTATCCATGGTCATTTATGATTCCATATGAATTCCTGCATTGTTGTTTCCAGCACTGAGAAAATTGAAGAATGCTTTCTTGTTTTCAACACAACTCTCCTTTCCTAGTAAACAACTGACACAATTTCTATTACCCCATGTAAATTATTTTTTGTTTTAAAACTTGCTATAAATGTAATTATACAACAGACACTTGTGTTTGACTTCTTTGGTTCAACACAAATTTTGAGATTCTTGTTTTAACCATTCTTGGTTGTTTATGTTTCCATATGAATTCCTGTATCATTTTTTCTAGCAGATTCTCTTGGGTTTTCAAGGTATACAATCATGTCATCTGCAAAGAGAGATAATTTGACTTCCTCTTTTCCTATTTGAATACACTTGATCATCTTCTCTTCTCTGATTTCTCTAGCTAGGCCTTGCAAAACTATGTTGAACAGGAGGGGTGAGAGTAGGCATCCTTGTCTTCTTCCAGTTTTCAGGGGAAATGGTTCCAATTTTTGTCTGTTTAGGAGTACGCTGGCTGTGAGTTTCTTGTAGATGGCTCTTACTATTTTGAGGTATGTTCTATCTATGCCTAGATGTTCTAGGGTTTTTATCAAGAAGCGATGCTAGATTTTATCAAAAGCTTTTTCTGCATCTAATGATATAATCATATGGTTTTTGTTTTTATGTCTGTTGATGTATTTAATTATGTTTATGGTCTTATGAGTGTTGAATCATTCTTGCATCCTGGGGATGAAGCCTACTTGGTTGTGATGGATGATTTTTGAGATATGTTGTTGAACCCAGTTTGCTAGGATCTTGTTGAGAATTAAAGCATCTATGTTTATCAAAGATACTGACTTATAGTTCTCTTTCTTTGTTGGGTCTTTGCCTGGCTTGGGTATCAATGTGATGTTAGCTTCATAAAATGATTTGAGGAGCGTTCTATCTTTCTCAATCACCTAGAATACTTTCAATAGGATTGGAATCAGTTCCTCCTTGTATGTTTTGTAGAATTCTGCTGGAAAACCATCTGGTCCAGGTTTTTTTGGTTTGTTTGTTTGCTTTTTGTTTTTTGTTTTTTTTTGTAGGTAGTTTTCTTGTGACATAGTCAATTTCCATTTCCTTGATTGTTATTGGTCTATTTAGGGTCTCAGTTTCTTCTTGTTTCAATGTACAGAGGTTGTGTGATATGTGAAAGTCCTCCATTTCCTTTAGGTTTTCAAGTTGTTTCCATTCAATTGTACAAAGTAATCTCTGATAATCTTTTGTATTTCTTCAGGGTCAGTTTTGACTTTATCTTTTATGTTTCTGATTGAGTTTATTTGGGATTTTTCTCTCCTTTTCTTTGTCAGTCTGGCTAGGCAACTATTGAACTTGTTTATCCTTTCAAAGAGCCAGCTTTTTATTTCTTCATTTTCATTTGTTTCCAGGTACCTTTTAATCTCTGTTTTGATTTCATTGTTGACCCAGGGTTTGCTTAGCATCATACTGTTTGTTTTCTATGTTTTGGACAGTTTGGGTTAGTTCTATATTTTGGTCCTTGAGCTCTGAGATTGTTTCTTCTGCTTGACTAATTCTGCCTTCCATGCTTATCAGTTTTTTATTTATTTCATTCACAGTATTCTTTACTGCTGTTATCTCAGTTATCAACTCCTTCCTATTTTCATCTTGTCTCTCCTCAGTTATTTTTAATCTCTTTATTAATGTCTTGATATCTGGGTTTGTAGTTTGAGACCAATCATTCTGGAGGTTTTTCATTGTTTGTGTTTCAAAATCTGTTTTCTCAGTGTCTGACCTTCCAGGAGTCTGTAAGAGACCCATATTCTTCTTTTGGTTTTTCTTCATTTGTGTAGATTTTTCACACCCCCCCTTAATCTCCCCCCTCTTCTTTAATTCTGTTTTTCAGGGATGAAGAGTAAGGGGGGAAACAGACAGACATACCAGCTAACAAATGAAAAGAGACACAAAGACAGAAAAGAGGAAAACAAAGCAAAACAAAACAAAACCTTAGAGCATACAGGTAATCAAACAAAACACAGTCCAACAAAATCCTGTGTATTGATGTACTACTCTACCCTTACACAAACAGGGAGTCTAAAGAACATTAAGAAGAAAGAAAAAAAATCAGTAAAATAACAAAAACAAAGCAAGCATGAAAATGTTATCAAAACCAGAATGTAAGAGAAAAAAAAAAAACCCCTAAATCAAAAAGCAAACAAAAGTGAGCAAAACAAACATTCAATAAAAACAAAGAATCAGACTGGCTCTGAGGTCATTCCTGCATATCCAAAGTCCCTTCAGCTCTGATCCTCCCCACCCCCCACCCTCCCACCTATCTCAGGCAGATGGGTTTACTCATAGCTTGGGTCAGTTGTCATAGGCCTGCTTTGAGAGGGGGGTGAATCAGATCTGAGTTCACTGGGTTTGTTGCCTGTGAGGTCTGCCACAGAGATCTGAGTTGTCTGAGTCTGATTCAGCCTGGGGGAAGGGCTTCTGCCTCTCCTGGTTTGATGAGATTACCTTAGGCAACATGTGGGAGACTGCAGAGAGCAGGGTGGTGCAATGCAAATCTCTGCCCTGTCCTGGGTCAAAGAAAATGGCTGTGGTGGGTGGCTCCTTGCTGGGCATGGACTCCTCTCTGGGCATGGACTCCTCTCCAGCTTACCTGATCCTCTGTCTCCACTGAGCAGATCCTGGATTCCAGGTGATCTGTTATAAGAGGTGATGGTGTGGGCCAGGTGCCAGGTGATGGAAATCAGCTGGATTCAGCAGGCTTTTCTCAGGCACATTTCTGCAAGCAGAAGACGCTCCTGCACAAGATCTTGCTGGCTACATTCCAATCTCAGGGCAGCGGGGGCGTGAAGTTGCCCTCAGAGGGGGCACCCAAGTGCATGCACCCAAGTATCCCCTCAGACGGACTTTCACCTCCCACCAGCACCCACCCACTCCCTTAGAGAGTCTTTATGAACACTTGGCTCCAGAGAGTCTCTTACAGACCGACCTGTCAATCGCCATCTTAAGTTCCACCCCTTCTA